TCTCTATGGATACATATATAAGTATTTTGATTGTTTAATTGTAACCCACTTAAAATACACAAGCATGTGGACCAAGACTGAAAAGTAACAAGCAAATAAAAATAGTACTACAAATAATATTTTTTCTTTCTTCAAAGTTGAATACAAAGATGTTGCCATCATACTGTTCTTATCAATTAAAAGAAATGCTGAGATATCAGAAAATTCAATTCATAGCTTTAAAACACATACACGATATATTCATATGCATATAATGATTCCAAGATTGTTTATCTGCCATAAAATGCAGAGAGCCTCCTTTCATAGCAATGCCAGGCACTGTCCTAAGCACCTTTATGTGTACTAACTTACTAAGTCCTCTCAATAACCCAGATAGGTACCTTTATTAGCTTCATTTTATGGAGAAAGAAATTGAATTTCCAAGAGGTTAAGTAACTCAAGATCTACTTGGCTAGTAAGCAGTGGAACTAGGACTTGAACCCATGTACTATGACCCTCAAATCCTGGCTCTCACCAGCCCTGCTTTACCACCTACTACGGAGGTTTATTTCACAGAGCACCCCTGAAGTCCCTGTGCAATGGCAGGAAGTTGTCTTCTCAAATTTCATTTCTTCTTTTAAAAAAAAAAAAACAGTAGAGTAATAAAGCTATAAATGTAAGAATATAGTAAGGGATAAAAAATTGCCTTCAAATTTCCTATTTTAAAGTTTTGGGGGTTTAAAGGCTTTTAGATGCCAATAGAGGTTGTAAGAGTAAAATGCTATTTTCCTTTAAAGTATCAAGTCTCTCTCTGCTCTCAATGTAAAACAGGAAGCTTTAGGGATACTGTTTAAAGGATGATTCTCTTAAAGTCGAGGCTTTACCCTCTCAAGAGACCTAAGAGGACAAGAATCTCTCTGGGACTTGGGACTCGAAAAGGAGTTGTCTTCAAGCTATCACGAGGGACCAGTTCTTGTCCTCTGGGGTACTACGGGAAATTCAACTCAAATTCATTAGCATTCTGAAAACTAATTTTGCCAAAAGATCTAAATGAATTTTTTATTCTTCATTCAAAATTCCAAGGTAATTTTTAAAAAATTGATTTCCAACTTCAAAAATGGTCCTTTTCTGCTCTGAACGGTCATGCCCTTTACGATAGCCAAGCCCTTTAGAACCTTTCTCCCATGGGAACACACACTGTACATGCCACGTGAACAATGCCTTGAAGATGTGCACAGGTTGGTCATCTCAATAAATACTTTATTTGAAATGGAGTGCATTTTGAAAATATAAAAAATCAATCACATCTCTCCAAAGTCATTTGAGACATATTTACACAAATTATGACCACGCTATTAAGTTCACAAATGTGGTAGTTTATAAAGCATTTGGTACACGGTGATGCTTCCTTTTCAGAAGCTGACACTTGCATATTCTGAAACTTTAAGCAGAAGACTGACAGCAGAATGTAACAGACAATGTTTTATCTTTCTTCTCAAAATAAATACAGTGATCTGGAAGGACCACCTATTGTTAAAACCCTCCCCACTGTTCAGTTGATCACCAGCAGGCCAGATTCAAAGCAGGTAGGAGTAGGTCTCACCAGCTTTTATGTGGATGCTTCTAAAGATCCAGAGTCCTTCTGCTTCCTTCATCGGAAAATAATGCCCTTTCTAAGAAAACTCTGTTGAATTCTATACTCCATTTGGCAAATGTCCTGCCAACAAAGCCGCAGATCACTCTGTCCTCCCACCCTATGTAAATCTGGATTGGCTGTTCAACACTGCAGATCAAAAAGTCACCCTTCAAACTGTATCAAGAATTTAGAAAATAGTTCTTAAAAACCCATCCAACACAATTCCACAATTAATACATCTTAGGTTGCTGTAGGTAAATAGGTATATTTCTCTTCTTAGTGAAAGAATCACTAAGGAATTCAATATCAAGCTCTGTAATTTCCAAATTTAAATTTTATTCTGCTGAGGGCATTTTACCGGTAAAGCAAAAACCAACTAGTTTGATATTTACGAAAAAAGAGAAGAGCGAATGCTCCCAGGCCCACTCTCATCCCACGAAGCTCTGTGTCCTGTGGGACTGCTCCAGTTTCACTCAAGTCTGAGGCCCCTCCTCTAAAGCCTGCCACTGAACGTGACTCTGTAAACACTTGGAGCCAAGCTAAAACCGAGTTACTTTCCCTGGGGACAGAAAGCAAGCGACGTGTTTGAACTCACACACTGGTAACAAACTTGCATAGTGTCAGATTTAAAACGAGGGGTCGTTCAGAGAAATGAGAGCAGAAAAGAGTTAGAACAGGCCTGTCTACTTAAGCCAGACTTCCTAACAGTGTTTACATGTGAGGGGAACTCTTTTAAGCAACAAGTTGGGTTTTTTTAACCTCCATTGGAAAAAATATGTGAAGTGAAATTATAAAGTTGGTTTGATTTCTACATGATGAAAGAATCCCACCTCCCTCTGTGACGGAAATGTTCATTTGGAAAGAGTCCTTTACAGTCGTTTACTCGCTGACCTCAGCACTCCCACAGTGCATAGGCAGATCTACGAGGACTTCCACTGAGCAAGTGTGTAAGGAGCTTGGTCAGGATGCCTGCCCCAGAAGCAGTTGTTCTCGGGGAACAGCACGACAGCAAGTAAAAGAAGCACTGTGTGAGGCAGGAGAAACCACCTCCTGGGTGAAGGGGAGTTACACATTTTTGCCTTCTTTTATTCATTTGTCCCGACAAATAGTTATTGAGCTCACTGTGTACGAGGCTTGGTGCCAACACACGTTCAAGGACAAAAGTTCAGTTTCCAGATGGGACATTCCTTTCAATTTTCTAACTTTTTACATTTTATGTTTATTTAAGGGGTGGGTTTTCTATTGGACCTGCTCTTTCCTTCTTCCTTTTCTTGGGTTCAAAGAAGTACGTTTACCTTTTTCCATGGAGGTGATTTGTCAGGCCTCCGAATACCGTAGGTGGGGTGTATCATTTTCTTACAGGTAGAGTCACTGACACATTACATGATTTGCATTTGTGTTTTGTTTTCTTGAGTTTTGTTAAGCAAGCTTGATTTTTTGTTCTGGAAAAAATTATTAAATCGTAATAATTCCAAGGTGTCAAACAATAGAAACCATCTTACTCCTTTCTAATATCTGAGGTTTCACAGTTAAATGCTAAGAGCGGTTCAGACTAGAGAGCCACTAAGAGGGTCAACTCAACATAAATATCACAGCAGACCGAGGACTAAGGGCTGTGGAAAGAGAACACAAGGAAGCATGATTCTGGTGGCCCCATTAAGAACCACAGCCATTGTGGGGGGAAAAAACCCAGCAGCCAGGAGGGAGCCTGAGCATAATTTTTTCAACGACAATGCCTACCATATATGTAAGCTAACAACATACATATACCTTTTAAAAACCTACATGAATCTTAACTTTAAAAGTAATTGGTATGAATTTGACTTTTTTTATAGCACAAAAATGTGAAAGAAAGATCCTTCCATCTGGAAGAAAGCTGTGGTTGAATTGGGGTTATATGATCTGCATGTATTAAATCAACACAATGAGGCATTATCTCAAAAGTACAGCAGTAGTTCCAAGGAAGCCGAACCAAACTTAACTGAAGAACTCTTTAGATCTGCTCTCAGAGCTGCCCATCATATATATACATATATATGGGTTTTTAAATTTTTGCAGCATATTTTCACAACTGCAACTTAGCCACTGGAAGTAGGAGTCCACTTAAGTTTTGCTTGCATTTGCTTGAGGTTTAGTTTTTCCCCACAACTTTTTGGATTAGAGTTATGATCTCAAAATTTCATCATTTAAATATTGCACCAAAAAGTAATTTGAGCTTGAAGACTTCTTTCTAGATGGAGGGAGAAAAAAGAAATTCTATTTTCATTTCTTGACTATATAACTTAGCAGTGGCCTAATAATGACCATTTCAATTTGATGCTGGAAAAATACTGATCAAGACTTTGTGGAAAAGAAAATAGAAAACAGAGACCCGTTAGTCAAACCATACAGATAGGAAGTGATTTTCAGCCCCAAGAGGCTTTGGTATCATCTATGGCTCTTCTTAAACTTCAGTAGCATCTGCCCTTGTGGATTTTCACCATCCTTTTGATTTAACACAGAAGAGGGTTTGTTCCACCTTTAAAAGCACATCCTCTTCCCCTGCACCCCTGCTCCCCAGACTCTTGAACAAGTGGCTGCTAAAACAAGACTGGGGTTGTTTTCTTACTGAAAATCCAGTGTTTATCCAATCAGTTTAGCTAACCTAACAACAAAACACATAACCCTCAAATTTCTCACAGAGCAGTAAAAAGCAAAACAGTTGGTTTCTCTGATCAACATTATTTTCAGCATGAAAACAAACAGTTATGACTTCTAGTCCTTTGAAATATTTAGAAACTGTATTTTGAACTATGAGATTCTACAGTATACTTCTAGAACAAAAAAAAGGGGTCAGAAAATGTGGCTCCAGTGAAGTGTGCAAAGCTGTTGGAGAAGGATAACCTCTAGTGTGGATAAGAGCATACATGTTCTGTCAGTCAAGTTGAATGATTCTCTTTCCCCCTACTATGTTTTTTGAATTGAAACACCTAATGAATTCATACTCAGAAATCACAGAAATCTCATTAAACCCTTCACACAGATAATACAAGCAAGGCTTTTCCTACAGTAGACCCAGTCCAACCATACATTCAAAGACATGATCATCCTGCCGTCAGCTGAGTTATGTTTTAAATATTTTGAATTAGATATCACTACTACTGATTTCCTTTTAGAAAAGCAATTAGATTTTCATAATTACACAATTCTGAACATTTAGCTTCTTTAAACTTCTATTCTACACAAAAATATATGTCTAAGGAAAGAAATTAAAAAAAAAAAGTAATATCAGAGTTTAATTTCAACCACCGGGCATAACAATGAATGTGTCAGACCTTCTGAAAATGCCCCAGGAATAATGAATGAATTCTTAATGTTTTCCCCTCCACTGCCCTTTTACTTTTTGCTTTTCCAAGATTAGAACTTACTAGGGAATGGTTTTTTGAAAATAAAGTTTCTTTTTGGAAAATGGCCTACATTCAGAAATGTCTTAGAACAAGCATTAAAAAAAAACACTAATAAATAACCTTAAGTCAAAATACATTAAAATAAAATTACAGTACATCATTGCTCCTACAAGGTCCACCATACTGGAAGATCCTTTCAAAGGTTCATAAATAAAGCCTTCTGGACTAGAGATGGTTTCCTGCATTGCCATGAAGAGTATGCAGAAAACTAAGGAATCGAAAGTTATCAGTCTGGTGATGTCCAAACGGCTTGATCTGGTGAGGGGCGGGGAGACTGTCTTGTTTTGGATCCAAGTGAAGACAATAGAAAGGTGCTAGTCCCACTTCCTCGAGTCCTCAAAACCTGGAAAGAAATGACAAGGAATCAAGTGGGTGGCTCAGAATCTTCCAAGACCCAGTTCTGTTTGGGTCTGTCGGCGGACACAGCGTGCTCAGAGAGACACCGGGGTCGCTCCCTCCAGCGCCCAGACACAGGTAAGCGGCGCCTGTGACACGGAGAGAGCCAGCGGCGTCGCTGGGGCGCGCACCACTGACCACGCGCGATCAGGGTGGGCAGGGGGGCGACCCGAGTCCCCCATCCTCCCTTCCCTGCCCGGCCTCTCCTGGCCCCAGCTTGCTTCCCTTTTTTCCACCTCCCCAGAAACTTGGAATAATTTCTCGTTTTTCCACCCAAGAGCCAAACCTGTGAACAGCTTCCTATACTTTTCCTAACACACCCGAAACCCACTCTTCGGAATGGCCCTCGGAGCCCGGGTTGCCGGGCCCTTACCTTATCTGGCCCGGGTGCTGCCCCCTTCAGGCAGAGTTGGGGTGCTGCGGAGAAGCCGGTGGCCGTGCGGGTGCGAGAGCGGCTGTTGGTGCTGGTGCGGTAGTGGGTGCGGGTGCGGGTGCGGGTGCGGATATGGGTGGAGCTGCTGGGGCTGGGGCTGGGGCTGGGGCTTGGCTTGGGGCTGCGGCTGGGACTGGGACTGGAGCTGAGGCTGGGGTTGGGGCTGGGGCTGGGGCTGCGGCTGCGGGGTTTGCTGCTGGACCAGGTGCTGCTGCTTCTGCCGTGTGGACTTAACCGCCAGGATGGCCTGACGGTTCTTGTACTGCACCATCTGCAGCGTGATCTCGGCGTTCCAGCCTTGGTCCTGCGGGCACCGAAAGTCGATCTCCTTGCCCTCGGCCATCACCACAGTGAAGTACATATACTTGCCCTTGCGCTCCACACAGTCCACGGTCTTCATGTTGGAAAAGTGCAATTCCTTGAGCTTGACCGGCGGCTCGAGGCTGGCCACAGCGGGGCCTCCGGGTTGGGAGGGCTCAGCCGGCCCCTGCCCAGGCTGCTGCTGCTGCTGGTGTTGCAGCTGCTTGGGTGGGATAAGCAGCAGCCCCTCCTCAGTGAGGATGCAGCACTTTTTCTTCCAGAGCTGCAGCAGCCCGTCGCTGCGCTTCTCCAGCACACCCTCCTTCAGCGCCTTGCATCCGCTGCTCTCCAACATCCTCCCAGCATAGGGGGGCCCGCCGCTCGGCTCGGCCTCTCCACTTCCCGCCGCCCGGGCCGGGGGCAGCAGCAGCAGCCGCGCGCCGTCCTCGCCCCAGCGGCTCCCGCGGCCGCCGGGCCGGAGCGCACAGAGGAGGCTGACGCGCAGGAGGCAGAGCGGCGGCCGTTCGGGGTCCGGGCAGGGGGGCAGCCGCGTCCTGATGCGCCACAAGGTCCCGCAGCGGCGAGCCGCCGGGCCGCTGCCGTCCTCTTGCGAGCGCTCACTGAAGGGCACTGGCCGGGCCCCCTCGCGGCGCTTTTGAATGGGCCATCCCCCCCACCCCCGAGTGACACCCAGCGGAAAAGGCGGCTCCAGGCGCCCGCACCGCGCGGAGAAGCCTAGCACCGAGAGGCGCTCCGCCGCCGACGCACGCCTCATTAACTTGGGGCCTTTCCAAAGCCGGCCGCGTCCACGCCCCCCGCGTCCCTGGCTCCGCCTCTCGCCGCCCACTCGCTTCCGCGCTCCTTCCCCGGGACGGCTGCAGGGACCCGAGCCCCGGAAACTCCTCTCCTCCACTCGGGGCCACAGCCCAGGGCGCCCCAGCCGCCCGGCGACGAATGCCTACGCCCAGAGGACGCTGAGAGGCCATCGCCACCGTCCCACCTCTCCCCCGCCGGTGGGGCTCTCTGCTAACAGCCTCAGAAAGGGCTGCGGAGGTGGCACAGCTTCCAGACAGTGCCTGGAACGCCAGGCTGGCTCTCTGCCCTTGGGAACCAGCCCTGGGATTCGCGCTGAGCTCCGAGATCCCGCAGAGCCGGTGTCCCGGCCTGGGCGAGCAAGGAGGCTGAGGAGGAGGCTCTGAGTCACCGAGTCCCGCGGAAGTGTGCCTCCTCCGGAGCCTACGTCAACACCTCAGTGCACAAAGGCCGAGAAGACACGGTGTCTTGACACTCACATTCGCTCACGGTCATTAACTAGCTCTTCTTGGAGCAGACAGGGCGATTGTTAAAGCAATAGCGCTACCCTCCGTCCCGTTTGGAAGGGGTAGAGAAAGGTGACCCCCTTCAGATTGTATCTCGCCTTGCCTTTTTACACCCGGGACACAAGGACTCGAGCTTCCTCCTTGACCCATCCGTACAGCCTGCAACATCTCACAACAGTAACTTGAAGTACGAATCGGAGGATGTCCGCTGCTTAGAGACCCCTCACTTCAAGGCGCAGCTTAGCTCTCCAAACTGCAAGTTGGCCTCAGCAGGTCCTCCTCTTTGCAAACGCCTAACAGGCCAGATCTCTATTTTGTAATCTCACTTATCTGGACCTGGGGAACGTAATGCTGTACTCGCTCCTAGCTCCCTCCTACTCCCACATGTAAACAATTTCTATAGAAATTCTGGGAAACAAGGCAGAATAAAAAGCACAAACCGAAACTAAACCTCTTGGTGGGGAAGTTCATTCGTCAAGTAAACAGAGAACCCTCACTATACAGTGACCCTGAGAATAGAAGAATCACACGAAAAAGAAAGAAACTAGGGGTGGACAAGGCAGAGTTGGCCAAGGTCAAAGGAAAGGCTGCTGCTTCTGCCCAAGAAGGACGAAGGGCTAGCTTAGCTCATCTGCTGGTTTCCTATGGCTGGAACAAAGAATTCAACAGGGGAAGAAGTGCGAGATGAGCCTGGAGAGCCGAGGAGGAGTCAAATCCTTTGTGTGTCATGCAAGAAATTTCGAACTTAATCCCAAAGTAATCGAAAACAAAGGATAAACTTTAAACACGGGAGGGTCCGGAATCTTAATCTAAGGAACAATGTTTTTAGCAAATGGGACAATTCCAGCACAATCCTGAGGGCCACTGAATTTCACAGTTCTCAGGGCCTTCACATTGTTAATGGATTAGCAGTCTTTCAAAGACAAAGGCAATTATTAAAATTTTGTAAAAATTTCTAGTAAGATTATGTTAAAAAAAAATGAACAAGTCTGTATACCAATGACAGACACTACACCTAACATCTCAGTCCTTTCCCTGCCTTTGCAGGACAAGTGACATTCCAGAGAATTTCTGCATGACCAGCTGTTCATCTTTTTAACAGAATGCCATTCTTCAGCTCATTTGGAAAGGATACTTCCTTTTAAGTGTGTAATTCAGAGTCTCTGAGGGCAGGTGTACTTGGGAAAGACATTTCATATGGAAAAATGATACAATATAAACTTGACTGGGTAAAAAATAAGATGTTTGGTGTTATCTAACCTTCACCAGTTTATCAGAATGCAACAAAAGCATTCTATATAAATTACTTCAAAATGTCTGAACGACAGGCACGATTTTCAAAAGCACTTATAACTAGAGACTTTAAAACTCAGAATTTCCATTTGAGTATTTCACAATGACTTAGTGACTTTGAGAGCAGCTCAGAAGTCAGTCTACAATATACCCTTTCTGACCACAGTGCGCTGATTATTGTAAATCTCAGTAATATACGAATCTTGTAAATCGGTGACAACTTTGCTCATAATTTATTTCAACAGTCACCACCAACTCACAAAAATGGCCATATCATGGCCATTATTTTTTTAAGACAATGACATAAATTCACAGAAAGTGTATTATAGGAAATAACTGTTCCCCCCCAAAACCACCACTTCAGCTGTAGATATAAGGAAAACCTACCAGTCACTTAAAATTTACTCAAGTGTAGAAAGCTAGCTACAAAGTCATTCCTTTGGTACACAAATTTGAAATAGCTAACTCACAGTGCATATGACAGCTAGCTATGTCAAGGTATCAGCAGCATCTGACACAGCTGATCATTTCCTCCTCTTGGATTCAGTTCTTCACTTGGCTTTAAGGACATCACTCTTGGTTTCCCTTCTACCTCCCTGGATACTGTCTGCTCTATAGGGTCCTCCTCTCCACCTCAATCTTTTAATACTGGGGTGCCCCAGAGCTCAGTCCTTGGTCCTCTTCATCTACACTCACTCCCTTGTTGATCTCATCCAGTCTCATCATTTTCAATAACTCCCAAAATTTATATCCCCAATTTATATCCAACTGTTTGTTGCCAAAGAATAAAACGACTTCCAAAGTTTAAAAATAATAGTACTAACATGCCAGGCAAGGGAACACATACTGGTGAAGACATTCCTGAGTAGTTCACTAGAAGGAAAAGTCTGAGGGGATTTTAGGTGGTAGAAAGAAAGGTTCATAGAGCTTTTGCTAATAAAAAATTGAAAAATAGCACTCTGGATAGGATGGAGTCCATAGGTTCATACCTAATTGGTTAAAACAAATTCCTGGATGGAACTGGTTCACTAAGGGTCTGGAGTCACCTAAAGTTCATGTTTCTTTGCAGGCTAGAATGGCTGTAATGAAAAACAGCCTTCAGTTTTGATATATTCCACGCCAGCGTTACTGCAAATGGAACTTGCTTTTTACCCTCCTCTACAGTACTATTTGGATGTCTATAGAGAACTCAAATATATGTGCTCCCAAACTTAATCTTCTCTCCCTGATTGGCTCTACATGGCAATTCCATCTGTACGGTTGCTCAGGCCAAAAACCTCAGAGCAGTATTACCCTTAAAACAAGCCGAGAGGCCCTTATCCGGAGCTCTGAACTTTAGAAGAGTCAAAATGACACGTCTATCTGGAGCTCATACTCACTCTAGACCACACTCCAGGTACTCAGAATTCCAAATACCCTTCCTAAAAGGCCTCGGCAGTTCCAGGGAATGCACTATCACCAGTGTGTGCACTGGTGTGTAAGAGGATGGACAGATTTTGAACACGCAAACTAGGATGTCCACACAAACACGCAGGAGGCCCCTTGCCACACAATTCAGAGGCAGGGATGGGAAAACAGGAAAGGTGGTACATGGGCTGAGAATCAGCTCTGCTTGCAACTAATGTTCTGGAACTGGACTTTAAGAATCTGAAATGCAAATCTGGCCTTCCAGGTACTTAACAAGGTCTATTTGTCAAGATAGGAGCATTGAACATATTTTATTTAACAAAACTTTTAAATATTTAACCACTGATATCTCCACTATACTTTTGCCCCAGAACTGCAAATGTTTAGAAGCATGCCTACCTTGCAGTAATCCTTTACAGATTTCTCTCAATACCCAATCCACAAATTCAGTCAAGAAATCCCATCAGTTATGCCTTTAAACGACATCTACATTCTGTCCATTTCCTTCCTTACTACCCTGATCCAAATCACCTTTTTTTTGTTTTTTGTTTTTTTTTTTGCAGGGGACAATTTGCCCTAAGCTAATCTGTTGCCAATCTCCCTCCTTTTCTTTCTCCCCCAAAACCCCAGTACATAGTTGTGTAGTTTTAAGTCCTTCTGGTTCTTCTATGTGAGCTGCCACCACAGCATGGCTACTCAGACAAGTGATGTGGTTCCACGCCTGGGAACCAAACCTGAGCTGCCGAAGCAGAGCGCGCCAAACTGGAACCACTAGGCCATCAGGGCTGGCTCCACCATCTCTCTCTGGAATTACTGCAGTGGCCTCCTAATTTGTCTCCCTCATTCTACCCTTGCCTTATAATCTATTTTCAACACAACTCAGGGTCATCCCAATCACTTTCCTGAAGTTTTTGCTCAAATGCCATCTCAATGAGGCCTATCAATCACTCTAAAATTGCAACCACCCAATTCCCCTTCATTTTTCCCATAGCATGTGTTACCTAATATACCACTGAATAATTTATTACGCCTCTTGCTTATTTCTGTTCCCTTTCCTATAGAAATGTAAGCTCTCCAAGAAGGCAAGGATCATTGTTTTGACGTCTCAATCACCTCGTACAATCCTTGCCACATAGTAGGGGCCCAACATACGTAAAACTTTTAAATTGTATCAGAAGCCCAGATCAGTCATAAAAAAAAAAATGCTTCAAATGCTTTTGACACTTTTCATAATGCATCCTTCTCTTAATAATTTTCAAACTGTAACAACTTTATTAAAAAACTTCCAAAACTTGCCATAATATTTGATGTAATTTTTTAAAATATATTTACTACACGTGCTAGGCCTCTGAATCTTAAATGCTATTACATTCTATAGATACTATCTAAAATAAATCCTACAAACCTTTCTTTTTCTGAGCAATATGCAATTTAATATTGAGAGGTATTTATATAAATTATAATCCTATTGGTTTCTAGTAAAAGTAATCAAAAGTATGAGAAACACAGTAATAGAACTGAATTGGTAGCAGTTTCTTTTACTTGGCAGTCAAATCGCCAAATACTTGTTTAAAAGTCCATTAATCAAAAACTGGCTTAAAGACATTTGATTTAACAGAACTTGGAAAGTTATTAAGAAGTGTTTACTTTCACTTACAACTTGATTACAAAATTATAAAATCTTTAATCTATAAACTTCCTAAATTGCAATATACAGTACAAACTCATGACAATGATTATCATGAAAGACTTGGCT